TAACGTTACGTTACGTTACGTTTACGTTACGTTACGTACGTACGTACGTACGTACGTACGTCGTACGTCGTACTACGTACGTACTACTACTACTTCTACTCTCTCTCTCTCTCTCTCTCTCTCTCTCTCTCTCTCTCTCTCTCTCTCTCTCTCTCTGTGTAATGCTGATGTTGCAAGTACTATGCATTAGTTACTCAAAAGGCCTAAAAACATAAAATCAAGAACCAAATCAGTCCCTCGATGGATTCGACTAGTTGAGATTCAGGGAAAAGGTAAAATTACTTATTGGGAAAAAAAAAAAAAAATCCCATAACATGTCTGCTTTCTAAAAAGTAAAGGGAGAGAATCATTTCTAGTTCAAAGTTTGACTTCAAAGTTTAAACTTTAATGTTCAAAATAAAAAACAATTGTTTTTAAATTGTAGAGAGAAAATTTGAGGAATAAAAAAACCAATTGATTTAAAAATTAGGCGTTTTGATCCTAGACCGGTAAGGACCTTGGAAAATTAATTAGAAATGTAAAATTTCAAGAGAAAATAGAAGAAAAAAGGGAGCATAATTGAAAAAAGTGGACCAAGATTCCAAAAAAGGGCAAAAAGCCCTAATTATCAAGGTTCTGGTTCGTGAGATTTAGGGGTGTGATCCAAAATTTATCGTTAGAGATATTGTACTCCAATGAGAGAACAACAAATTGAATAGATTTCAGAAAAATCAATTAAAAAACTAAAAAGAAATCTCAAATAGTAGATCTGGACTTGGAAAAGACTGGCTAAAAAACTCAAATCAATCTTGAGATGTCAAAGATTTGTTGTTTTGAAGTGAAATTTTGTTAAGATTATTGACCAGTGAGAATTTATTTCAAAATAATTTGAAAAAATTTGATGAAAAACAAGAGAAAAACCAAACATTTTCAATTTTGGTTTACAAAGACATATTCTTAGTTCTGAGAAGAACCGGTACATCCCTGACTTATCCCCATCATCCTGAAGAATTTTTTATCCCTAGTTACTTATCTTTACACTGACTTTTTAAGATTTTTTTAATCCCAATGCCCAAGAACAGCACATCATTAGACAAAAGAATTTGTCAAGACGTAAGACAATGCACTGAAAGTATACAAGAATACAAGCATTTTCATGGATATAAACAGCACCTCAAACCGATCAAAGGGCAGCCAGGATCGTCATTCCTCTGCTTAAAGTCCATCAAAAGTATTGTTTCTAAAAAGTCCATGAGCAGAAGAATAAACATCAGTCCACCAGCTATTGACATCAGATGGTTGATAATACTGTCGAATATGATCCCAAAAGTTTGTCTAGAGAGGAAAGGGAAATCAATGGAGAAAGCATTTGATTAGCACTCGTGCCAAAATGTTTATATACATATATTTCAACGCTTGTTAAATAATCTAAATGGGCAATTCTAGACTTCTAGTTTTAATAAAATCAAGGGCCATCCCTATCACTTGGGCATCACTTGATAGGAAACATGTAAACTGACTGGAAAACTTCAAGCTTAATGAGGATCAGGCAAAAAAACAGCACAGAGACCACATTTTCCAGTACTAAATGGCTGAGTCAAACCCACCATCAATCTCTCTCTACATCATGAGCTTTTATTACAAAGCTTTTCTATACCAATCGCACTTGAGAGGAAACATGTAAGCTGACTGGAAAACTTCAAGCTTAGTGAGGATCAGGCAAAAAAACAGCACAGAGACCGCATTTTCCAGCACTAAATGGCTGAGACAAACGGACTATCAATCTCTCTCTACATCATGAGCACTTACTACAAGGCTTTTCTATACCAATCGCTCTTTCCTGAGCTTCTCCATTTCTTTCACCATTTGCCAGTGCTCTGGTTTCAGGCTGTTTTCCCCATAACTTATTGACATTAAGCGAGCCATTGCCAACCACCTAGAACAATATAAGAAACCTCTTCAAATTCCCAGTCAAGAAACAACAGATGGCTAGTTTTTTAGGGCAAATATTTCAAACACAACAAACTCTTAGATTTTCCTGCTTACACTTAGGCAATAACTGTTAACAATACAGCCATATGTTACATACATGAAGATATGCAATTACAGTTTACAGAAAATACATATACTAGTAATGATTTTTCACCACATTTTAGGTTGTAACTTACAACAAGCTTGAAACAGCATTACGGTTAAGATGGAATGGCCCCTTCTACAAGAAACCTAGGGACCAAACCCCATTTTACCTTTTGAAGTCCTTTTGCATTTTACCTTTTGAAAGTCCTTAAAAAGGACAATATGAAAAAAACAGAAAACCCTTTCTAAAACCCATTGCCCACGTGATACTAGAGACCACCAGCTGTTGCCTCTACCACCCAGAATCTTTCTTATATTACTCCAGTAGCTATCTCTCTTCTCTCCCTATGCTCATCTTTTTTTTTTCCTTAAAACTCTCTCTAAGCTCTTCAGTAGCTTACTCTCTTCTCTCTTTAAGTTTTTGGTATTCACGGTGAGTGGATTTTGTGGAGGAAGTCAAGAAGAGGACAGGAAGATGTAATCATGTAAGAGGAAGAAAGAGTTTTATGGGTTGCCTCTATTCTCACTAGAATTTCAGAACCCTCTCCCTCTCTAACTCTTTATTTCTCCAAGATTTTGGTGGTGAAGTAGGATATCAATCAGACAGGATATCTTTGCTGGAAATACTGAATCTTTGATCAGAAAAAGATTTATGGGCCAGAAAACTCTTGATTCTTGCTAGAATTTGGGAACCCCAACGGTAAAGAATGCCGGGAAATGGAAGATGGGATAGAAACAGGAGTTAAAAATCACTAGAAAAAAAATTCAGGTTAATGGGTAGTGGTCAGAAAAAGAGAAAAACCCAGTCCATGACTCTGGCCACTTTTTTTTTTCTATTTTTTTAGATTTTTTATTTTTTATTTGATTTTTATAGGGGAATTTTTATGGCCGGAGAGTTGGGCACCCAACTCGCCTAGGCAAGTTTGGGAACCCAACTCACCTCACCACTAGGGTGAGGCCAAGTTATATGGAAAACAGATCCCAAGATCACTAATGGCTTTTTCAAATTCTCAAAGATGGCCAAAATAATCTTATGCCAGGCTTTGGTGATCTGATCCATGCATGCCCTTGCCATACCAACCCCTTAGTATTGTATACCCTTGGTATTGCTAAGGGAGAAAAACCTGATTACTACAAAGATGGGGCATGACAAACCTGCTTAATTCCTCTGTACCCAAGCTCCTGTCTGCTTGCCTTGCTGCAACCATGTCATCTTGAACCACCTGCATATAATAACATCAACTAATTTTGTGAAATGCTCACCCCCTATAAGGCAATGGCATGTACACCCATCACCACACCCACAGAGACACATGCACGCACACATGCACGCCCACACGCACTGGAGATGCTTGCAACTACAGTACTAACAGTACATATAACAAGTACATAGACATCACCAATGTGCTAATAACCATTGATTATTTGTAGACATTTATATCCATAGTTTAGAAACCAGCTTCTCAATACATTCTGTTCTGTATATTAGGACAAAACAACTAACAAAATGAAATATCAGTAAGAACATGGTATTATATGACAACAAACATTACAATAAAATTTAAGTATCAAAGAATAACATCTATCATGGTCTTTACGATTTTGAGAGATTGCAGCTTCCATAAATCAATTTGCGTCCTGGATTGTTCTCTATTAAGAACTTAAATCCCAGCATTAAGCATGTTCTATTCCACAAAAAAACAGGTCACAAAGGTTGGTAAAGGGGGTAGTGACATGTGATCATGGCAACCCCACCTTATCTTGGCTATAGAGAGAGAGAGAGAGAAGAGTCTTACTAAGAAGAAACATCAAGCCCATTATGTACCTTTTGCATGGCAGGATCAATTGTATGGTACCGATGTGATCTGAGGGTACTTAGGTACCAGCGCCAAGCTTCCAGTTCTGAGGAGCTGGCATTAAGGTAGGACCCAACTTCAACTGGCCGGAATGGTAGCACGAGATCAGCAGGCAATATGTTAGACTTCGCCTCTGAGAGAACCAGAACCTGGACATCGGTATCCATTGCCACCTTATAATACTCAAACTCATACTCCACCTAGGGAAGTTCCACATGAAAAACCAGTAAATAAGATGAAATAAGATGATGCAAGAAATTGACTGCTAAGGTCGATTAACAAAATAACCATGCCTGCAATAAAGTTGCATTCTGGTTTTCTTGAAAACAAGAGAAACAATTCCAGCAATTTCTAGAGCACAATGAACATCCTGGTCTTCCATGGAATTAATTAAAGGCCAATTATTTGTATAAAGGTTAAAAAAATAGCATTTGCAAGCATTATAATTTGGACATTGCCTCCCAACAAAGTTGTTTAAGTCAATTCTATGACAGCTACAGAAGCAATCATTAATTTCACAGCTCCAAAGAATTGGCTTACATCCAATCTTTCTTCCTTTTTAAACAGATGGAAGTCATCTAGATTATATCTGACCATTTATTTCACAGTATATGGGCTCAATAAGGTGCAAGCAGAGCAAGTGTAGAGTTAAAAAGCATAAGACTACACTCACAAGGCCAAAAACAAAGAATGTACCCAACCTATACCACCCTTAAGACTTGCTTAGCCAAGGTCTTTCTGGAACCATCTAATATCCATTCACTTATTGTATGTACAGAAACCACAATAAGGCATGCACATAACATGAAAGCAACAAAGATGTATCAGTTACCCTTTGAAAATCAAGAAATTGTTTAAGTATCCTGATATTATCAACTCCAGTTGCATTAAGAGTGCCCGCTTTCAACTCAGTCTCATCAATGGTTAAGTGGGTGCCTTGTGCAAGCTGCAAAGCTCCAGTGACTAGTCTGTAGACACATAAAATTTGTCCACGAAGTGAAAAAGACAAATATGTTCAATAGAAAATAGGAATAAGTGTAATCCAATAGCATATTAAAACCTATATCCAGAGGGTCATTTCCACAACATGAACCAACATGCACCCATCCGATGGTTTCACTCTCTCCACCATCCATCCAAGATGGCATTGACCTCATTGGAGAACAATGTACATGAACACAACGATTCAAAAAACTGATTTTTCTTCCGATTTTTTGTGAATATGAAAACAAGAAATACTAGAGATTTATTTATTTACCGATTTGTTTGATAATTCTTCTTTGGTGCAAGGGACGTGGTATTAAGGTATTCGATTGAGAGAGGAATGGAGTCCGAGAAGGGCAGCAAACATTGAATTGCATTATCAAGTGACTTGCCAAAGAGTCCCATGTTCTTCTTGTTGAAACCAGTTAAATTAAGAGAGAGCTTCCCCACAGCTACAGGCTCAATTCTTGTGTGTATCTGCATCACGTAAAATGGTTTCTTCTCTTTAAACAACAAAAATACAATAACGAGAGAATCACAAGAAATGATCTAAAGAACCATCAGAGAAATATAAGATGGTTGCAGCCAAGGAAGAGTATTCATCGACCATCACTCCAAGGAAGAATAAAATCCCAATAAATGATCCATTTGGGCATTCTATGCTAAGGGACTTGCCCCGAGTCGCCCTGATAGGGATCCAGCGATTCCAGGCCCAAAACCCCTGGGATCACCAGCGTCTCCCCTTCTTTCATGGGTTTTCTTGTTAAATTCCCCAGTTCAACTTGGGCTCAAAAAAGCCAGACAGGTGAATCGGGATTGAGACCCAAGGAGGTCCATACCCAAGTCTGCCTTTCTAGTCACTGCAGAAAAACGGAAAAATACTAAAATCAAATGGACAATGGAAAATCATGGTCCATGGGCATCATGAGCTCTAGAACAGGATGCTGCCCATATCGTGGGTCTAACTGACTCTCCATCACCCATTTCATTGAAAGTACCCAAATGGACCTTTAGGTGCATAGTATTCTACATTCTTTTTACTCAGTAAGTTTTTGCATTTAATCGCCTCTTTTTTAGTTGATTCTATGTTATGGGACATCAGCCATATCATTGGTTTCCCCTTTGGTTTGTCATTCAATAAGATGCCCTTCTTCCATTTCTAGAGAAGAAAGAAAGATGGAAAAACTTTAGCTCCCTTGCAAAATTAGCTAGATCTGGAAGGATTGTATTAACAAACATGCAAAATATCATGAACAGTTGGTCAATTAGAAACACAGATACCCAGTGGGTGGGGGGAAGGAAGTAATCAAACATAATTCAACACTCAAAGTAGAGGCAAGCATTCATGCATTTGTGAAAAAAGACGCAAAAACTATAACACAAACCTTAATGTTAACTGGATAAACAAATCACAAATCCCAATAAAATTGGTACCATATCATACACAGCACAAAGGGGCATAGAATCATATGTGATATACAACAAATGCATAGAGTTTATGGAAAAAATAACTTGAAGCAAAAGTTAAAAGGGTGAAAAGGTAGCTTACTTGTGATAAGAAATGCAGCAACAAGTATTTTGCTGCAAGCCCATCATTACCAAGAACAGAGGTAAGACTTTGTAGAAGAGCTTCTCGGATCCCCTTAACCAACTCTTGACCAGGCTGCAGATTCAAAGCCCTCATCAATATTGGCTTGAAACAGCATCTCTCAAATACAAAAAATTAATATTTTGCTCACCGAATGTTATAGATGTACAAAGGAGGTACAGGCAACCCTAATGCTTGTATTTTAGTCATATTATACACAATGACTGTCATAAATTAACAATCATTGTCATCATCTGAGCCCAATCCCAACTATTCGAGGTCGACTATACAAATCCTGTTCTAACATAAATTAACGATAAAAGAGTAAAATTACCTGAAGTCCCAAGGGCGTAGAGATAAGGTCTAGGAGGGCCAATCTCCTGGAGATTATGCACTGGAGCCTTGGAACCTGCAAATAAAATCTTATCTTTGAATGCCCTCCAAGCTCAGCAAAACATTTTGCAAAAAGGAAGGAAAAAAATGCACTAGACAGTATATCATAAGGACAAAAAACAAGTCAGAAGCCAGAAAACAATATATATATATATATATATATATATATATATATATAAAATAAGAAGAAGCTGAATAGGCATAAAGTAATAATTTTTCACTATTTTGGTACTTTACTTCAATGTATAAGTCCATAAACCCAGCATATTTGACTAGAAAGCAAAATCCATTGGTGCAAATGACTTCCAATAAAAAAAATTAGACATCTGCTTGAAAATGGTCACAAATATATCAGAACATACCTTACTGGGCGGTAAGTGAGCCAATACATCTTCACATAACGCATCAGAGAGTTCATCGTGGTTGCTATTGTGATTAACTAACTCCGGATCAAAAGTGAAAACTCCGATAAACTCAAAGATATCGTTAAGCTTAATATCCACATCTGGCCCATCATATATCTGCAATGAAGGAAGCAACCATTCAAAATATACACCATTCCATTGATTCAAAGCAGCCACCACAAAGATTATAATATGCCAAGGGGAAATAAGTTATGAACACAGTGTATCATGAGTATGGTCTCCCATCATCTTCACCATCCAACAATGGACTATTGAGTTGAACAGTTTTCTACCTAAAGTCAGCCCTGCCCATTGTTCGATTAACATGAAACAAGTTCATCACCACCATCTATCATCAGGATTCAAGACTGACAGTGGAGAAGATAATACATTACAAGCCATACATGTAACATGTGTAACTTGATAAATATATTACCTTAACTAGACAGGGAAGAGAGCTGGAATCAAAATTCGATGACATGCAGTCGGCAAGATTACTCTCAAGTGCCTCCGATGATTGACTACAAGAACTCCCTTCTTCCCTCTGAAATAAGGAAAAACTTAGCTCTTTAGAGCAGTTAATCAGCAAAATCTTGGAAAATTGCAGAAGCTACTCTCTCTCTCTCTCTCTCTCTCTCTCTCTCTCTAC